CACAGGAACTTCATCTAGACTGGGTAAGATTATTGCCTCTAGCTCTTCTCAGGCTCAGGGCTCTTCCTAAAAAGCCTCTTTCAATCTCTCCATTTGAACTAATGTATGGAAGGCCAGTTCTAACACCAGGTCTTTTATCCAACCCTCCTACTGTTACAGATAGCCCGTTAACTCCCCTTTTATGTCACCTAAGGTCTATCCTATGGAGCTTTACAGACCATTCCTTACCTCAGCCATGTGACAATTCTTGCCCACCTCCAATCCACATCAAGGATCAGGTTCTTCTCTTTCCTCCAGGCCAGCGCCCTCCACCCCTTTCCCCTAAGTGGCAGAGACCCTTCAAGGTAATTCTTGTGACTCCTACAGCTGCTAAACTCGAGGACTTTCCTCACTGGGTCCACCTGTCTCATCTAAAACCTTTTATCTCACCTCCATCCCAGAAAAATCTCTCTTCATATACAGTAAAACAAACAGGGCCTTGTACTCTCAGGCTCCAGAGGACCAGGATCCACTGCCTTGTCACCAATTCCAGAGGAACAAGGTATCACCCCTTCCTTTCCCAAATAGGGCCACACAGAACCAGAGGCAAAAAGGACCATCAGAAATATCCAGGTGGTAAGGAAAAATATAATACAACAATCTATCATTGTTCAATCTTCAGTAACTGATCACCTGCGTTTCCTAAATGCTAAACTAATAAAGGAAACAGGTGCCTTAAATAAACTACCTCTAATAAGGCTTGTCTCAGGTAAAAATTAAGCAGAGTACTAAGGCCATATCTACCTCAGATAAATGTCACATGTCTCCATCTAGGCAGGCCAGATCTACCTCAGATAAATGCCAACTCCAAAAATAAAATAATAATGATTTTTTTCTCTAAGCTTTTTCTATGTCAACAGTATCTTATCAGAAGGTTCCCAGCCACAGCACGAAGGATGGACAGCTGCAGAACAAGGGGACGGCAGAACGTCATTCCAGGACCCCCCACCATCATCCCAGGACTTCACAAGCTACCCTCCCCATTTCCCCCAAGAGCCAACCGATACCCACTATTCAGCTCGAAGCAGTCTTTGAGAGAAACGTCGCCCCATACCCACTCAACCGCCATTTTTTTTTCTTTTTTAAAAAAGAAGAGTCAGGGATGATGGATTCACGATATGCCCCCACGGTTGGGCATGTTTGTGCATGCCCAGTGGACCTAGACACTTCTGTCTAGGCAGTTCCAGTTCAAAATAGCCATTTCTGGGTCAAGGTGTCTCATGTGACCAGGACCCCGTGGCTTTGCATGGTTGCATAAGAGCACACAAGGCAACCATGTGATCTGCGCATGGTGGAGTAGCCACATCGACCTGTTTATGCATGCACCATCCAGCCTTTATAAGCCGGCACCATATTCCCGGCTTCCTCCTTCTTCTCCTTCTCCTGTCTCTCTGCAGGCCTGAGTACTCGTCTGTCTCTTTCATCTTAATAAAACTCTTGTTAGTGGATTCTGTCGTGTTTCATGACATTTCCTCGCAGGGTAAGAGCGCCACTAAATAACTAACACCTGTTCTATTCTCATTTGGGCTGAGCAGTTGGAGTTAATAATTTTATGTCTCTTTATAGACATGGTCTACACTGGTGTTAAAACTGCTACAGTGGTGACTTTTGTCTTCTTTGAATAGTACTGGAGATTTGGCTTGCAAGAGGAGGCTGCTCCCTAGTTTCTCCAAATAAAACTCGAAGAGAAACCAATAGTAAATGATGAAGAAAATATAACACAGAAGCACAAATAATATGAAAAGCAGGAAAAATGATCATAACCCCTAAAATGATGAAACTAAAAGTGATGAAGTGGTTGAAAGGCTGGGCTAAGAATTCAAACTCCACATGAAAAGATATTCAGAAATTTCAAAGAAGATACAAAGTAGCAGGTGAAGGAATCCAACTAAGGACATGGAGATGCAAACCAAAAACATACATGAGCAAGTAATTGTGAGTTTGAAAACAGACAAAAAATAGAATTATTAGAACTAAAAATAAAAATACAAAAAGCAGTGTAGAAAGGTTCACCAGCAAAGTGTATCAATATCAGTTAACCTAAAGAACATTAGAACTTGAAGAAAGATTGAAGCAAATTATACCTTTAAACATCAACAACATAAAAATAAATAAATAGTGAAGGCAAAACTCAGAGAAGACCTAACTCAGGTCATGTAGCCTGCTCACCAGCCCACATCAAAAACATCATGATCAAGTTGGGTTCCTATCAGGGACACGGGATAGTTCACGTTACACAAATCAATAAAGACTATACAGCACCTAAATACATTCAGAGCAGAGATCACAGGATGATCTAAAATATGCAGAAAGGTGTGCTTGCCTAAGCAGGGCACATCCTAAAACTGGAAAAACAAGCAGAAAAGACCTTGAAAAAGCTAAAGACCAGTTAATGACAAAAGCCCTGAAGATTCTAAGAGCACACCTCAACATAAAATGGTTCTACATAACAAACGTATAGCTAACACTATACTAAATTGTGAAGAGCAGAAACCATTTTATCTAAAGTCAAGGAATAAGACAATGGGATCTGCTCACAAAAACCCTTTTCAATATCCTGCTTGAAGGATTTACCCACAGTAATAATACAAAAGAAGGATATAAGTGGGATAAAATAAAAGAGGTTAAATAATCTCTATGGGCAAGTGATGTGCTCATATGGTTAAAAGAATGCAAACACTCAAACACAAACACTAATCTGTACTTAACACTTCCACCAAGGAAGGAGGGTGCACAGCAGCATAAAATACTGTGCAGTCCATAGTGACCCAAACCCTGATACTGAGGAATAAATCAGAAACACAAGCCCATGCACAATGTTTTCAAAAATTTACAATGCCTAGGAACAAACCTAACTGATGGAGTGAAGTACTGAAAAATGAAAACATTAAATCACTGAAGAAATGGAAGGAGACACTAGAAGAGCGAAAAGCTTCCCACTCACATAGATTAGCAAAATGACCATGTTACTGCAAGTTACACACAGATGCAGTGCAATGCCTTGAATTCCCGATTATGTTTAGCTCAAAGGAAACCAAGTCCTAAAATGCAGGGACAAGAACAACAGACCAGAAGTAGCCACAGCAATGCTGGGGGTGGGACAACACCTGCTCTCAGATTACACTATGGAGCCAGCAACAAAAATGAATGCTCCTGCAAAAAGAGAGATATGTAGACCCCTGGAATAGAATAGAAGACTCAGAAATAAAACCATACAGCCACAGCCACTTATGTATTTTTAAAGATGCCAAAAACCAAACACTGAGGATAA